CAAGGCTATTGTCCTTTATTCACATGTATATCCTACTAACAGTGTATCGGGCACAGTACCTGAGATACAAAGAAGAATATGGAAGCTGGGTCAGGCTTCAGGGTGCTCACTGTGTGTGTGTGACTCAAGATCAGAGAAAGGCAGCCAGGAGGAAGTTGGATCCTTGTGGAAAGAACTAGAAAAGGTGTAGTGGAGGAGGCTGCGGAGGATGCTAGTAAGGTGAGGCAAGGAGACCACTTATCCCTGGCCCCTTCGCCCAGTGGTTGGACTTGGGATGAAAACCAAAACCGATCAGATTTGGTCTAGGTTCCACGCAGGTAACTCCGTTCCTGAAGTCTAACTTCCGGAGTCTGCTCTCAACAAAGGAGTAACTAAACGCTGAAGTGACCTCAGATCAAAGTGGATCGTTTCCTCTTTACGGCCAGTCATTTGGCTAGTTAGCCAGACTGGAAAGAAAACGCAGTCGTCTCTGTGCAGAGCACCAGAAAGTGAAAGGAGAGAAAAGTGACTATGCAGGACCTCTTGTCTGCCCCGCCACCCCTTCCAAGAGTCTCCGGGCGGAATCCTGCAGACCGTCTCCTGGGAGCGGTTCGCTCTCCAGAAAATATGACACTATTTCCTGCCCTTGTTTGTTAGCACACCCCGTCACCATCCGCCTCGGTTTCATGTAACTGCCAACCGGCATTAACACCCTCCTCCTCGCCGGGGCAGAAAATAGAAAAGGAAGAATTCAGCAGACCACCCCACCCCACTCCCCCCCCCCACCGCCTGGTGCCATCCTCGGTGGCACCAAGAAACCAGGGCAGAAACTACAATAGGATCCGTGCTCCCTTCGCCAAAGAATGCTAAAGTCAGGACAGTTTGACTACCTTCTCCATTTTCCTGCAAAGAGAAAGCGTGTTATTTAGGCTGACTAGGCTCTCTACCTCACTACAAAGAAAGATCCCACCCCACCCGGCGGTACTGCCCCTACCCCCACCCCCTCCCCAGTACAAGGCCAGAGGTGTTGACTACAGCGGAGCGGGAACTGTCAGCTGCTGTCTGCAGCCATCAGGTGAGCCGGCCGCTGGCGCCTGCAGCGGAGACACACTGACCCCTAGTGGCCGGCCGAGCCCTTGAAAGCCTTTGCTCATTAAATTATCACTTGTCACAAAGCAATCAAATAGGTGACTGAGTGGGTACGGCCCGTATGGTATCTCCACAGCCTGCCCCAGCACACTCACGCACACCCCATGTCCCTTTCCCCTTCCAGACCATAGAAGCATTTCTCCTCCTTTAGTCTGTTCCAGAGAACAATTTCCTAGGAACCTTAGGAGGGGCTCCTGGGCTCAGCTAAGGCAGGGGAGATGGTTCAGTGGGTAAGAGCTCTTGCTGCTCAGGCAGGAGGATTAGCGTTCCAATCCCTTAGCACCCAGGTAAAAAGTGGGCGGGGGTAGGGGTGGGGGTTGCTGGAGAAATGACCCAAATGGTTAACGCACTGGTTGGGCAAACATGAGGGCTTGGGTTTTGACATATAAATGCCAAGTGGGTGCCTGCCTGTTACAGGTGGTCTCCAAAGCAGGCTGGCTAGACTCTGACTGAGCTCTGAGTTCAAGTGGAAAAACCCTGCCTCAAGTAATATAGTGAAGAGCAATCAAGGAAGCACCAACCTTAGTCATGCACCCAACACCTATGTACACACACATATATAACATTAAAAGGATAAACAAAATAGACCAGGTGCACCTGTAAACCCAGCACTTGGGAGTGAGATGGGGACAGATGAATACATGTACACACACACACACACACACACACACACACACACACACGGGGGGGGGGCACATGAACACACACACACTTTTTAATTTATCTATTTGCAATAAGCAGTTAGAACTATAGCACCACTTCACAGACAAGCAAACTGCAACCTGAGACTTAGAAAGGCTTAATAGTTAGGAAGGACGAATCCAGCAGGAAACCCAGGCAGCCAGTCTCCCAGTCATGGCACTGGGCTCTATGCTATGTGGGTACCAGCAAAGAGGCGACCAGGATGATGGCAAGGTGCTCTAGACCCCAAGCTCTTCTCTGTGTGTCTGTTGCCCTTACTCCTAAGGCTTGAGGGCCACGAAAATGCAAGATGAAGCCAAAGAAGGATGGTGTGCAGGAGGCAGGGCTGCTTTCACAGAACATCACTCATTTTTGGAGCCTCGTGGGCAGTACGCAGGGTGTTCGACCAAACTTGAGCTGGACAGTTTGAGGGAAGGGTCCTAGGAAAATGGGAGAGCAGGAGGAGGGGCAAGAGCTCTGTGAATGCCCAGGTGGAAGCAAGCCCTGCGCTCTCCAGGGCCATCCCCGGAAGACGGGTTTTAGAGAAAGGCCTCATTGCACCTTCTTTTTGGATCCAGTACAAGGGGGTGAGGGAGACCTCAGCCGAGCCCTGTGACTCACATCTGAAAATGGAAGCCCCTCTCCTTAGTTCAGTTCATGCCTTTTCATAGAAGTCTTACTACACAGGAGTAAATATAACATGGTTTTTAATGTCTTCATCACTTATTGTGTGTCTCTGTGGAGTAGGAGGAGGCGACCATGCATGTGCCACGGCCCACATCTGGAGGTCAGAAGACAACTTGCCGATGTTTGTTCCCCCCTCGCACCATGTGGATCCCAGGGATTGAACTCGGGTCATAAGCCTTGCCAGGAAGTACCTTGACCCACTGAGCCAACTCACAAGCCTACCAGCCCTTGCTTTTGATGTGAGAAAATGGAGGTCTCTGCCAAATGGGCTCAGTCACTATCTCAGATTTCCTAGGTAATGAGCAGAGACCCCCACACACTGTCTTCCCACACTGTGACTGTCACCAGGACCCTCACAAGCTGAAAACCCTCCTGTCCCCCCATCTCCCTTCTAGTAGTTCTGAAAGCCTTGTCCCCATCTGCAGATCTTTACCGGAGCCGTTCCCTCAGCCGGGAGTGCCCTTCCTGTACATGGATCTTCATGAGGTTGGCTCCTTCCTGTCATTCCGGTGTCAGCTCAAGTGTCACCTCCTCCGAAAAGCCTTCCCTGTGCACCCAACCCAAAATAGCCTTCCAGTTACTCTCTGTTGCATCACCATCGTATCTGCTTCCCAGCAGCTATTAATCTCAGCAGTGTGGAGTCCAGTCACGCTTGGTAGTTTCAGCCCGTGTGTAATAAGGGCATCTGTTACACAGCAAAAGCCTACTATGGGCCATGCAAGGGTCCTAAAGGGTTACCCGCTGCAAGACTGTGTCAGTAGGTCCTATCATCATTGTCCCCGTCGAATAGAAAGGGAAATCAAGGCAGCAAACATTCTACAGCTTGTCCAAAATTCTACCACGAACATTAGCCTGACAAAACAGCAAAACACAACTGAAATTTTAAACAAGCACAGGGCTTGGAGAGTCCTCCCCTCAAAAGATACAGAATTGGCCAATAAGCAAATGAAAAGACACTCAAAATTATTATTAGGCATCTGAGAAATGCAAACCAAAATCCCCAATGAACTCCCTTTCACACTCACTAGGAGTGTTTAGTTGTTTTAAGTGGGAAATAATAAGTTACTGGCAAGGACATCGAGCAGTCTTGACGCATGTGTGTTTCTGATGGGAGTGAGAAATGAGGCAGCTGCCGTGCAGAATAGAAGCTCTCCAAAAAGTTCAATACATGGCTGGGGAGATGGCTCAGTCAGTAAGGTGTTTGCTCTGCAAGTCTGGGGGCCTGAGTTGGATTCCTAACACTCATGAAAATGTCTTCTTTTGTATGCTTAAAGTTGTCTGCAATGTGGTGGGTGGCACACTCACTTGTAACCACAGAGGCAGGCAGATGGAAACAAGTGGATCCTTGGGGTACAGAGAAGCACCCTGCTTTCCACAAGAAATCTCTCCTTTGCTACCTTTGCTAGAAGACTAGGTATGTATTTGATGTTGAGTTACAGTCCTGTTGGCTTGATCTTGAGCAAATATCTTCTTCTCAAAAAAAAATAAAAAGCAGCCCTTGTGAAAAAAAAAATTGCTGTGTGTTCACTTTCCATTCATTTTTAAATCTATTACATTTTTATTTCATGTACATATCTATCTATTCATATGAGTGGGTATGAGCATGCCACAGCATGCTTGTGGGAGTTAGGGAAAATTTTACAGGACTCATTAGGGTTAAGGTTGGGGTTAGGGTTCTCTTTCTTCATCGTGTAGGTCCTGGGGATTAAACTCAGGCCATCAGGCTTGGCAGCAGGCACACTCACTCCCTTAGCCATCTCACCAGGCCCCGTTCATATATTTAAAGGATAGTATAGGGCAGAAGAGATGGCTCAGTAATAAAAAAGTATGTCCTGCTCTTGCAGAGGACCCAGACTCAGTTCTCAAACCCCCTCCCCCCACTCACATGGTGACTCACAACTCTCCATTAACTCCAGTTCCAGGAGATCAGTGTCCTCTTTCTGGTCTCTCCTAGCACATGGTGTCCATACATGCATGAAGACTTATAAACGAAAATTAAGTAAGTCTTTAAAAATACAGAGCCATACACTATCCAGAAATGGGTTTACAGAGGTGAATAAGGGAAAGTTACCTCCAGTGATCTTCTCGACGGGAAAGAGACACACAGAAACATCAAATGCCAGCCTCTTTATTAGTGCAGCACAGGAATTTTTTAAAAAGCAGGTGACCCAAAACTCGGCAGCTCCAAGTGATGCATGTCCCCCTTCTGAGCAGGATATCCCCAAGGTCCCTCATACAGACACCTCCGCTCCATGCCCGTTGTGTAGCCCCCAACTCCATCCCTCTAGGGAGGACTTGGGCTCTGTCTACACTTGCAGATTGGTAGGAAGGCCTCAGGATCCCTGTGATTCAAGCTGTTAGTTTTCATGATGCGGGCTGGTTAGTAAAACAGAGCAGAATATATATATATATATTTCCTATGTCCCCCAAAGGCCACTTCTAGCCTGCCCACGAAGGACACGAAGGAGTTGCTGAGGTCAGGAGACTTCGTTTCTGCAGCTTCAGATCAAAGGGAGGGTGAGCTTCTCTGTCCCAGTGGTCTCCGGGTCACTGCCTGGTAACTAGCAGAAGAAAAGATGCAGAAAACACTTTTAGAGTTGTGGTGAGGGTGGCGGTGTTGAGAAGAAGGAGCCTCCAGCGGTTATTTCCTGCAAACTCCCTCTGTGTGCACCAATTTTGAAAGGTTTACTTCCTCTATTTATGTATATGTGTATCTGTGTAAATATGCATGTGTATGGATACAGGTATGCCAGGAAGGCATAAAAGGGTGTCAGATTCGCATGGGGTGGTTGTGAGCTGCCGGACCTGAGTGCTGGGAACTGAATTCATTCAAGTATTCTGGAAGAACAGCAAGCGCTCTTTCTGTTGTTGTTGTTTTGTTTGTCTTTTGGCTTTTTGATTTTGGGGGGGACAGGGCAGCCCCAGCTGTCCTGGAACTCACTCTGTGGGCCAGGCTGGCCTCCGTTCTCTGGTTTTCTCCATTAATTGCGTCTTTGATTGGCCTATTGAAAGCAAGCAGCTGAAATCAGCTTGTGGGAGCTGCCAAAGCCCAAACTCTGAATATAAATCTAGGTTTGGAAAGAGCAGAAAAGGGAAGTCAGCCCAAGCCTTACTTCTCTTCCAGGGTGAGAGCACCCTCTTGCCCTCTGTGAGGCTGCCTCCCAGGGATGCCTTGGGCAGGACCAAGCAACAGACTGTGTAAACCTTGCAGGATTGGAAGTTATCAGAGGATGGCCATGCCAGTCCTTCCTCCGTCTGAGTGAAGAGTTGCATTAATGCCCAGTCAGCTAAAGTGCATGCCATCGATGGCACCAGGGTAATATGGCAGTCAATGGCAGAAGTTCTGGGAGAGCACGCTACAAACTACCAGCTGACACTCTGAAGGGAGCATCCGATATGCTAGCACAAGATATGCAGTGGCAAAGATGAGACGATTGCTCGTGATCACACACACGGTTACGCTCTGTAAGGACCTCAGAGAGGGCGAGGCATGGAGGTGCATGCCTTTAATTCAAGCACTCAGGAGACAGAGGCTGCAGGGCCTCTTGGAGCTCAAGGTTAGTCTGATCAACACAGCGAGCTGCAGGCCCTCCAAACTGGAGGAGGGGAGATTACAAAGAGACATGATTCAGCACTTAAGAGCTGCTCATCCAGAGAACTCAGATTCAATTCCTAACACCCTCACGGTGGCTCACAACTGGCGTTAACTCCAGTCCCAGAGGATCTGATGCCCTCTTCTGGCCTCTGTAGGAACTGCATGTGTGTGTGGTACATAGCTCTTTCCTGGATGGCAAGTTACCATTCCCATCGGATCTGGGATCTCTGTTACCCTCACTGCCCAAGAAAGGCTCCCCACCATGATCATGCTTCCCACAGTCACCCTCTCCAACAGAAGGCCTGGGACATACCGAGCCGGCCCGGCCTTGGGTCCTTACACAGGGTGGACCAGGTTCCTGTCGCAGTGAGGCTTACAGTGGGGATTCAGCCAGTGTTCCAGAAACTGCTCCTCAGCACGGTGCTCCAGAGCCAGCAGGTGATGCACATACTCCTGAAGAGACAAACCCACCGCAATGAGAGGCTCCCGGAACTCGCTTTGTAGACCAGGCTAACCTTGAGCTCACAAAGATCAGCCTGCCTCTGCCTCCCAGGTGCCGGGATCAAAGTTGGGTGCCACACACCGGGCTTGCTCCTTCCTTAGCCTCGGTCTTTTTTCACACAGCCCAGTGGGAAGCCAGTCAGCAAGGGAGCCAGATGGTTCAGCCTGCAGGGTCAGCGTTGCTCTGAAAGAACCGTGGGCACTGTAACCATGAGACGGGAATCACAGCAAATTGTGTGTGAAACAGAACCACATAAATGTTTTTAAGTAACTCTAAAACAGCATGCTGTTAATCAGAAAAGTGGCATTTCACCTTGAGAGAGAATGAACATAATCAGTCATATAGTATTTGTGACAAGATTAAATCATGTCCATATGTGTCTATACAGGGGGAAAGAGATTTTTCAGGACAGGGTTTCTCTGTGTAACAACTCTGGCTATCCTAGTGCCCAATTTGTAGACCAGGTTAGCCTTGAACTCTCAGAGATCCGACTGCCTCTGCCTTGTGAGTGCTGAGATTAAAGGTGTGCACCCCCACCACCCAGCTCAAAAACGTCTTAAAGCACCTTCCTACAGCACTAAAAAGCCTTTAACGGAGGATCCGGTCCTCTAGGAACTCTATAGCCAGTACTAAATACAATCATTAAAAATTTAAGAGTGGGGGTGAAGCAGGGGAAAAGTTCAGTTAGTAAAGCACTTGTCATACAAGATTAGTACCAGAGTTCAGATCCCCAGCACTCCCATTATACAAAAATGGACGAAGTGATGCACACCTGTTGCTCCAGCACTGACGAGGCAGATAGAAGGATCCCAGGGCTACCTGGGCTTCCAGGCTCTCAGAATAAGTGAACTCTGGGGACAGTGAGAGACCTTGTCTCCAAAAACAAAACCAAAGAACAAGATGGAGAGCAACTGAGGACCTCTAGCTTCCATCTGCATGTCCACTCCGCAGAACACACACACCTGCACAGGAAAACACGCATGCACATATACCAGACATGTGCAAAGAGCTGTACCTGCACAGGAAAACACACATACACATATACCAGACGTGCACACAGCTGTACACACACACCTGCACAGAAAAACACACATACACATACACACCAGACATGTGCACACAGCTGTACACACACACCTGCACAGGAAAACACACATACACCAGACATGTACACATAACTGTGCCTGCACACCTGCACAGGAAAACATGCATACACATACTCACAGAAAAGCCAGATGTGGTGTCTATATAGCTGTGATCTCAGAACATGGCTAGCTGAAGCAGAAAGACTGCCATACATTCAAGGCCAGCCCAGAAAACATAATGAACTTCAGTCTAGCCTGGGATTAGTATGAGGCCCTGTCTCCAAAGGAAAGAAGTGTTATATGGAAAGAGGGGAGGTTAACATTCCCCTTGATGAGGGCCTAAAACACACAGACAGGTAAAGCAAGCACTGCCACCTACTTAGCTGCATCTCCTGCTTTTTGGAACTGGAAAAAATTACGCTGAGTGAGGTAACTAAAGCTCAGAAAGGCAAACACCACATGTTCTCTTTCATATGCAGATCCAAATTCTGGCCTCTGGGGCCATTGCCCTTAATGGTGCACACACACACATGCAAGCAAAACACTCCTACACGTAAAATAAAAAATAAACCTATAAAGTAATTTTTAAGTAGACAGAGGGCTATATAAAGAGGCACTGTCTCAAAAACAAGCAAATCCTGGTCTCAAGTGATGCTCTGTCTTAGCCTCCTAAATAGCTAGGATTATGGCACATGATACCCAGACCAGGTAGGTTTTATTCATTGGTTTGTTTTTTAATGGCAACAACCACAGTAACTGAGTGTATGTCTTAGTGCCTGGTGCACAGTAGGGCCTCAGTATAGCTCACTGAAGAAATACACAAATTAATACATGAAAAGATCGATTTTTGTCCCACTAAATCTTCCTTGGAAGGTCCCTCACCATCTGTATCAGTCATCTTGCTATAAGAGCCAAATGTACATAAAAGCAAAAGTCAGTATCTATTTCACAGCAGCTGAAGTCATCACTGAAGAAAAGCCATCAAAATAGACACACACTGAGAACAAGAAAGGAGCCAGCACCGGTTTCCATGACACTTCAGTATTTATTTTAAATGTTAGGGAAATGAATATGCCACAAAGGCCTGAAAGCAGTCATTAGTCAAAGATGAAAAGCCAAACTACAAATCTGCTCAAAACCACAAATTCAACAATTGCATTGGCCGAGTCCGAAATGACCCAGCATTAATGATCATCTCAAATGTTCCTGGACTGGGAAAGGAGAGGGAGATGGAAAACAGGTTTTCATTTCTTTAGATTCTCTCCTCTGGGGAAGGAAGAAATTAAACAAAAACAAAAACCGGCATTTGTGTTCCGTGTCAAATGCCCATTGTAATGATTTAAGTCAATCGTTTCCTGGTAATTGGAATGGAAACTACACATAGCCCCTCACTGGAGTGGCGTGATAATGAAATGTCCAGCAGAACCTGACCTGACCCGAGAATGACATAGCAAAAGCCTATCAAGGCATGAACGTTTTCCAAGATGTCAACATCCTTTCCTATGACATTTGGGCAGGATTACAGATCCATTGACATTTGGGAGAATTATTTTACTCATTAGTCAAAGCAAGGTAATCACATAGGCTAGAGGATGGCTCAGAAGTTAAGTGCTCCGGATCCCTGAAGGCTCTGGGCCCTGGGAAAGCCAATGTGTGCTGAGTACAACTGACAGACAGCTCAGTAGTTCTAAACCATCTTTAAGACCATGGGAACAAAAGGCTAATGGAGTTCCTAGGACATTTGTCACAGGGCTAAATGTGAAAGCATATCTACAAAGGCTACTTAGCATAAAGCTAGCATGATTTATCTGCACCCAGTAAGAACATGCCTGAATAGAACGCAAACCAAAATGGCCCAACTTCCAAAAAAGGCAAATCTCCTGGGTACAGGAGTGCTTGTGAACATGGCCACAGAAGACATCATTGAAACCTGAATGTCATCTTTCTTAAAGAATTTGCATCATTCTCCCTGGCAAATGGCAAACGAATTCTTCCCTAAAATCTCCAACAATTAAGAGAAGCTTAATGAGGTTAATGAGGCAATAGGAGAGATTTTCTTGAAGTAAACTCCAGGTTTCATGGTGGAGTTCTATCCAGCTGAGTCCCCACATCCCCACCCACCTCAGGAAGCACCTAGACATAACTAGAATTTAGTAAATGCCAATCATTGGTTTGGTGCTAGAGACCCAGAAGCAAAACAAACTGTCCTTCTCCTCAAGCCATTTAGAACAATCGAAGAGGCCAGACATAAAAATATCAAAATTGGGGGCTGGAGAGATGGCCCCCAATGTGAAAAACACATACAGTCTGTGCAAAGGATCCAAGTTCAGTTCCCCACACTCATATTGGGCAGATCACAACTGCCTTAACTACTGCTCTAGGGAATCCAACTCCCTCTTCCGAACTCCACAGATACCTGCACACACAAGGATACATACCCACACACAAATGCATAATTAAAAATAAAGGGGAATCATTTTTAATAAATAAAAATGTAAGCATTAACTATAAAGTTCACCAAAACACCACCTTTGGCCCCCAGTGAGATGGCAGGGCTGGAAGTGAACCCATTATATCCCTCTGGACCTTTTTCTAGAAATCCACATTGAGGCGGTGTGTTTGTGCAATGTACAACATGGTTTTGTAGATGCGGAGACTAAGTGACAGGTGACTTGTAGAGAATGTGGACACACTAGACACCCCCACCCCAGGCAAGATGAAGCAAGACAGTGCAAGATCTAGTCACCCTCCCCTAAACGGTGCACAATTTTAATTTTATGCGTTGTTTCTTGCTAGAATTTCCCATTTAACATCTGTCGAATCAGGGAGACCATGAATCATCGTAGAGGCTTAAGAAAGCAAACATGCAAATAAGGAAGTGTGAGCATCCCGGAAGGGCAGCTAGGACAGAAAGAAACACTGTGACATTCGGAAGGAAGAGAAGGGTACCAGAAGAGCTGAGGACCTCGCAGGCAGATGGACGCACCTGTGGGAAGGTTCCATCTGAATGAGAAGATCTGGGTAATTGAACATCAGTTACCTTGGAAGGGTGGCAGGGAACCCAGGGATGGCTTGGGGCTAACATGTCCCCAGGCCAGAGCACACTAACTTTTCTCCACAAGCAAAAAGGAGGCAGAAGGCTTTCTCAATTAAGGTTACTATTGCCAGTGATGGAACGCGGTGACCAAAAGCAACTTGGGGAGGAAAGGGATTATTTCACTCAATTCCATATTACAGTTCATCATCAAGAACAGTGAGGGCAGGGACTCAAACAGGGCAGGAACCTGGAGGCAGGAGCTGATGCAGAGGCCATGGAGGGATGCTGCTTACTGGCTTGGTCCTCAGCCCGCTTTCTTATTGAACCCCAGGACCACCAGCCCAAGGATGGCACCACCCACAATGGGCTGGGCTTTCCCCCATCAATCACTAATTAAGAAAATGCCCTCCAGCTGACCCTGTAGAGACATCTCCCCAGCTGAGGCTCCCTCCTCTCTGATGACTTTGTGCCAAGTTTGTGCCAAGTTGACGCAAAACTAGCCATCACAAAGGCTTTAAGGAGTATTATTTACTGAGCTGTTTTGTTTTAATCACCCCTCGATATCACTATGCTGAATGCTCACACACATCCTCCCATTCCAGCCTCACAATGAGCCTAATAGGCAGTTATTATTTCCTCATTTCCCAGCAGTGAATGCTGAGACTTGCGGAGTTTAAACAATTTGGCCAAGATAGGACAGTCAATCAGTAGTGAACAGAGATGCAGAGGAGCTGTCACTCGCTATGAACTACATGATCTTGTGGAAATCATACATAGGGTCATTTAATTTTTTTAGTGGTTATTTAAATAGTATGCCCTCTAAATTCAT